CTGTTTTTCCCCTGGACTCTTCTGGACTGATAAGTAGGGAGCACAGAGTACATAGGCAGCCAGAACTAACAGATGAAACAAGGTGGTGCCTGAATCAAATGAAGCTGTGTGAAGCTTGAGTTTCTATAGCAAGGAGAAAGGACCCAAGGGGAGGTTCTTGGCCTGGGTGGAAGGGCAGAGAGAGGAGGAAAGTGTGCTTGGAATGGGTGCTCAAGAGGGTTGGGAATATCTAAAAATATTAGGTTTGGGCAGGGTATAAAAAAGGTCCCACCTCTCATCCTCCCTTAGTTCAGTTAATCTTCCCCATGTTGTCAGCCATATTCTGATTCTGTCTACTTCAACCACCATCTCACCCCAACTTATTATCTATGAAACCCTGGTCCATTAACCCTAGCTTCCGCTCTGTCCCCCTCCGAGTTCCTCCTTCCCTATTTTTCCAGCCACAAAATACCACAGCAGCTTCACCTCTTCCACAATGCCGTATTTCAGCAAGCCAGAAACATAGGGTGCTTACAAAACAGGCAGAAAGATAGCCTGTCTCACACTTTGCACCATCATGGCAGCTGGGCAGAGTAATTACTGGGAAAACCGTGTTCTGTCCCTGTGACCAGATGCATGAGATTCCAGCAGGCCATTGGGGTGGCAGGTGGGGGCAATCTACGAGCGTGAGTTGCTTCCTGCACAATATGCTTTGAAATTTAGCCTGGAGTGAAAGATAAGGAAGAGGATGCACACCCTGACAGCTGTTATGGTACCTGTGTATGCACACCTTCTTCACTAGGAATCCTCCCCATGTGTTCTGGATCTTCACTGAGCATGTGGTGCTGGTCAGGAGGTGCTACTGTGGACTTATGGGAGTGTACCTGCCCAACCAGTTAGTTTGTAGCCTGCAATGGCAAGGAACAGAAGTCTCAAAACACTAGCTAGTTTCTTCTCATTTCCTTGGGATGAGAAGGATGCTAGGCTAAGGCATGTCACAGGAATACCTGCAGGGCCCAGTTGAGGATCAAGCTCCCATTGGGCAGGGTCTGTCTGGTCCCATACACCCTGTCACTCCCACAGGCCCTTGAAGCCAGAGATAACTGCACAGAAAGACTTTACAGAGCACAGAAGCATTTTCAAGATTCATGCCTTTCTCCTTGGCAACAACCACCTAAGACCCAACACTTAGCCCCCAGCCGCCACCTTCTTCTTCTTCTCAGGGTCCCTCTTGTGCCTCCCAAGTGGCCCCTCTGTGCTCTAAGGGAAAGGGTTGGAGCAGCAAAGCAGATGAGGCTCTTTGGGTAGATGTATCTTTTGTTAGACCAACTAGTTGGAAAAATCATTCTTTGCAAGCTTTCAGGCACAAACACCCATCTCCAGACATAGACAGGCCAACACCCCTTGGAGGAAGAGGCATTTAGCACCGTCACTGAGGGGCAAGGGAGCGCACAGGCCTTGGCAATGCAAATGGCCCCCTCACCTCCTTGCTCCCAAATTTTGCAAGCAGAGGTAACAGCACCTGGCTTAGGAGCAGAGCTTTCACCAGGTTTTTTTCTCTCTCTCCCCCTCTCAAAGTGCTTGGAGCCCGCCTATAAAGCCTTGGGCAGGGGAGAAAAGCAGCCTGGAGCAAGGGGACAGACCCCCACCCTATACCCTAGCAGGAGAGGTTGTGCTAAGAGCTGGGAACCTCCCTCAGGCTCCCCATCCTTCCTAACCCACAAGCCCAGACTTTCCCCCTCGGGCCTAAACCAGCCTGCTGCTACTCGGGCCTGGCAGCAGCAACACACCCCAGTGGGCGGGGCTCCCTCGCAGCGCAGCCAATCAAGGCGCGAGGCCTCCCTTCCCTCCTCGCCTGCCACGCGAAGCATCCTGGGTCGTGGAGTCCCGCCACCCCCTCCCTCGCACGCCGGACGCGGAGGGCAGGACTACAACTCCCAGCATGCGCAGCGGCGAGCCGGGACATTGACCCTGCTGGCTGGGGGCGGGGCGGAAGTGCTGCGCAGGGCTCAGCCAGCAGGAAGCGCGCGAGGAGAGGGGGGAAGGGCGCGCAGGGAGGATGAGCGCGGACCGGGACT